CAGTGCAGGTGTTCAAGGCCCCAATCTCCTCTATTCAGAGCATGTTAATGGGCTGATAGACTCACATTCCCTATGGGATCAAGTAAGCCTCTGACCCACCTGCACTGTTTTTCTGCCTACCAGGAGTCCTCAAACTTTTTAAACAGGGGGCCAGTTTACTGTCCCTCAGACTGTTGGAGGGCTGGACGACCCCAGGACAAGTTGGCTGCTAAGCAGGACAGGCAATGGTGGCAAAAATACCCGGCAGACTGCATGTGGCCCATGGGCTGTAGTTTGAGGATGCCTGGTCCTTCTCTAGTTCCCTTACAGGTGCCGCTCCTGATGCATGTTTGAATAAACTTGTAGCATCAAAATCCTCAGCTCCAAATTTATTTAGTAAGGAAAGCAAGTAAGAAAAATGCTACTTCTTAATTGGCTACTGTTAATTTATTTTTCTGTTTGCTCTTTTTATCTTATTTTAGACCATATTTTCTTGCAACAATAGTTTACTCTGGATGAGTAAAGTCTGTGCAGAGTTTTTTTTTTTTTTTTTTGTAGTTTTTGGCTGGGGGTGGGTTTGAACCCACTGCCTCTGGTATATGGGGCCCGTGCCCTACTCCTTTGAGCCACAGGCACTGCCTGGAGTTGGTTTTTTCTAGGTTTTCTTCAATGGTTACATGGTAGCATATACCTTTTGACATTAGGGATTCCTGAACATAGTCCTTGTTACTTGGCTACTTATTCCAGAAAATCTATGCCTAAAGTTTGTAAACTGTCACCAGATAGTATTGGCAGTGTGAATGGTGTGGGAGAAGGGACATTTAGCAAAGTGAGAGCTTCTTTACCCAATAGCATGCTGTCAAAATGCTAATAGAAATATTATAACACTTCTTCAGACTGTTTACTGTCCTAAATAGAATACTGATTAGCTTATGGCTAATCAGGAGTGAATCATAAAGCAATATATTAACAAGGCACAAAATAAATACCATTTCCCTTACCATCAATTAGCATTCAAGCTTGCCTAATCTTGATCATGTCTAAATACTTTCTAAAGTTTAATAGCTTTGATAGGTCTTTAAGTCAGTTTAGTGGTGCTATAATTTTAAATATTAACTTTTCTAAATGTCCCCAACACTTTGCTTCAAAACACATAAAATATGGAAAAGTTACTAAACACATCGGGAGTCTGCCTTTTCTACTTGACGATGTCCTTTCTGGGAGTTTGATCTTCTTGTCTTTTTTGATGATAGAGCAGGAAAACACTACATGATCTGGAGGCAATGCCATATTCCTCCTCCTGCTTTCCTTGTTGTGTTGTGTGGTGGTTCTGCCAAGTCCATCAGGTCCAATATCCTCGAATTCACTCCACTATCTGAGTGCCTAAATTGCTAGCTTAATACAATAGTTAATGCTCAAACCTGAGCTTTCCTTTTCTATTTATTTTACCCTTCATTACTCCGCCCTTCCATAAAGAGATAATTAATGTTTTTCCCTTTACATATGTGAAAGGGGTTTTATTTTTTTTTAAATAAACAGCTCCCATCAGTGATTATTATCTTTTTAAATAGGATAAACCTTTCTCTTTTTAAAATTTTGCATTTTAATATGTTTTTGTTCTATGGAATTTTAAACTGGGACTTTTAGAGTTGTTATTTACATTTGTCAAAGAAACTTAGTATACAGAATAAAGCTGGAACAGATGGAACAGGGCCAGACTGTAGTAAATGTCCCTGATTCGAGGAGCCTTTCCGGGACTTGACCTTTGCATCACAGACGTAAGCAGCACCTCTCCATTGTTCTAGGTCTGAGTAATGATGGCTACTTTATTTATGCAGACAGACCATTGGTTTGGTGTGAATAGCTCCTGTTCTCTGCTCATATGTGCTCTTATTCATAAACTCAATAGTTAGATTTTTGTTGTTGTTTTTTAAATAGCACAGTACTCCTGACCATCTATAGGAACTATAATTTATTCTCACCAAGACTGACCTTATTTTGTATAATCATGCACTTCTCTGCCCCCATTATCCTTACTCTTTGGGGTGGTATTAATTAAAAGCCATTGATTTTCTCCTAACGTCAATCTATCCATTCTTCCAATTACCCTGCGACTCCCGCTCATTCTTATTTAGCAGGAGCATTCGTTACCATGCCACTTCTTTCTATTCATCTTTCATTCTCTTACCAAATCTTCCTACTTCTTTCAAAAGAGTCTGTCCTTGACCTGCGAGCTTCCTTCTTTTTCTTCTCATCTCATAGTGGCCTCTTTTGGCTGAATGCTTTAGTGACAATGACTACATTGACAATTCTGAACCTCTCTGTCCACCTTTAACCTCTGTCCCAATCTATATCTCCTCTGTCAATCAGAGTTCCCCTCTAGGCATTCAAATGCATACTCAATCTATTTAAGAATGAAAGAATCTTTCATTTTGTCCCTCTTCCATCCCATCATTTAGAATCACCTTAGGCATCACTCTTCTAAAGCCCAAATATGCATTCTGATGTATGTCAAGATCAAGATGTATCTTTAAAGACAGACAGTCCCATGGTCAGAGGCCTTTTGCTGAGAGGCATTGCAGTTCACAGATGTCAAATTGAGGGAGGAAGGCTAGACACAGGGCACGGCCTGAGAGGTGACATAGGAATAAGGTTTCCTCCTCTCAGCAAGTCCATTTTAGCAGCTTTCTCAGAGGTGACTAAACTTTGGAGGGCAAATTCAGGCCAAACACACACACACACACACACACACACACGATTTGGAAACCATGATGTCACAGGATGCATTTACAGTGGAAGAAACGTCTCACAACATGAGCCGAATCAGTAACTTGTTCAGGTCAAGAAGAAACTGCTGCTTAAGTGAACTTAGGAGAAAAAGTTAAAGCGCTGAAGGTTTCTTGACTGACTTCAGCTGTGTCACTTAGTAGGGAGGTTCTCCAGGGGAAAACCGCAGGCCCAACCTAGTAAACTGCGGAGTCTAATTTGAACATGGACCTCGAGACTCACCTTCTTTTTTGTGATAAGCCAGTTAATGACCAATTACCTCCATTTTGTGTTTACTAATTTTAGTTTCAAAGAGTACTGTCTCCTGTACCTCAGTCCCTCCCTCACCAAATAAAGGGCAGTAATCTGCAGTACTGCAGTCTCTTTGCACTAATCAAAGAAAATTTCTTTCATTCTGCCCCTAAGAACTTTTAGATAATTCTTATGTCACTGAGGAAGAGAGTAATATCTAAAAAGCATGTAATTTCTTCTATCAACAGTTCTTGAAATAAGATCCTTGATGCTTAGTTTTTTGGTGACTCTTAAGACAGATCAGTTTAGGCATAGCTGACACAATTCAGGAAGATTTAATCCTCTCAGATTGTGAATAGAAGTGTACTATTAGCACACATTACATACTGTTAAATCTAAAATGTTTTTTAAAATAAATGCAATTAGCTGTAACTAATGTAGATTAGTCTTGTTTAGTAAAATGCACAATTTAAAAGCAGGACTATCCTGTTAGTTACCAATTTATGTGTAGGTCTTTAAGAATTACTTCGTATTTCTTTTCTTCATTCACTACACTTGTCCTAAGTGGCAGCAAAGCATAGGTTAAGAGTGTGGTTTGTAGAGCCAGACTGTCTGGATTTAGACACAGATTGCCACACTGTATCTGTGTGACTTTAGCTAGTATCCTAATTTCTCTGTGCTCAAGTTTTATTATCTGCCAAGATGGGGGTGTGTGAGAGTATCCAGCTCATGAAGTTGATGGAAGATTAAAGAATATGTCGAGAAGCAGAGTCATGCTTGGCGGAGGTTAAGAACTATTTAAGTGTTTCCTGTTATTTTTATAGAAATGGATGAATGTGAGCATTTATATGCTTTTTAAAAGGTGGTATCTTTGTTTGTTTGGCTTTCTCCTTTCCTTATCTTTCCTCCTTCACTCTCATCAGTGCTAATGTCCTCGATTCCATTCATACCCCAGGTAGCCCATGTTTCAATATTACTGCTGATAAGTGCTTATCTGTATATGTCTCTGAATTCATATAATTCTGTAAAGAATATGCATAAATATGGAACAGTTGGTAATCATTTTGTCTTATAGAAGCACCATCCTTGTTCATAAGCTTTTCTACATCCTTACCCTCTCATTACAGTAACCTGTTACAGCATGAACTCATGGCTATCTTGTAATGTGGATGTGCAATGATGTGTCAAATTATTTTTGTTTTAATGAGTATTTTTTTCTGGTTTTCTAAATCATTATAAGAATGTTGGAATAAATACCCTTCATAGAGACTGTGCATATTGCCATTTTTATTTCTCAGCAGTGATTCCCATAGTGGAACTGCTGGTTGAAGAATATAAGTGTTTATACATACATATATATATATACATATATATATACATACAATATATACATACATATATGTATATATGTATATGTGTATACATATATATACATACATATATATACATATATACATATATATAAATATATATATATATATATTTTTTTTTTTTTTTGAGACAGAGTCTCACTAAGTCACCCTGGGTAGAGTGCTGTGGCATCACAGCTCACAGCAACCTCAAACTCTAAGGCTCAAGCGATTCTCTTGCCTCAGCCTCCCAAGTAGCTGGGACCACAGGCACCCACCACAACATCCAGCTATTTTTTGGTTGTAGTTGTCATTGTTGTTTGGCAGGCCGAGGATGGGTTCAGTCCTGCCAGCTCCGGTGTATGTGGCTGGGGCCCTTACCACTGAGCTATAGGCGCTGAGCCATAAGTGTTTTAATTTTAATTAATGCTGTCAGATTGCTTTCCATTGTTGTAACACTATACATTTCCACTCGTAACCCAAGACGATATCCCTTTCCCTATGTCCCCAATAGGTGCAAAAGGTGTACTAGGTGCTCCTCTTCGTAACTGTTACCACCCTGATTGATAAACATCATTTAAACAGTGTTGGAGGAGTTAGAAGGATGAAGCTGACCACGCTGCAGCAGGAAACAAAAGTAGAAATGAAACAAAAGGCCTCCTGGTGCTTCCCACAGGCCGTGTTCTCACATGGCTACAGAAGAGCAGGCAGAGTAAACCACCCCACACATGCCACAGCCCTGGCCCGGGCCTGGTCTGTCCTGTGAATGGGGGTACATGGAGTTGAAGAAAGGGAAAGAGGAATCAGGTGAGGAAAGGAGAGTAAGCCAGAAGCCCGCAGAAACTTAGTCAACTGAAAATGAGTTGCTGCTTTTAGGTGGGGGCTAAAAATGGAAGCAAAATTCAAACAGAAATACAGCAGATTGGCTTTCATTCATTCATTCTTCTATTTATTTGATTAGAACTATCTAGCTAGCATCTTTTAAGGGCCAGGTATTACTATGCCAATGAAATACAACCATAATAAGACAGATGACTTCCACACAGTCAAGAAACATACAGAGTAGCTGGAGTTTCCTAAACGTGCAAGGGAGGGCAAGCAAGACGTCCAAATAGACATGTCTAATAATTATCCCTCCACATGAATACCAAAATTCAACAACTGTTCACAGAAGTAAGCATTTTTAGAAGAACCAAAAATCAACTGAGTGATCATACTTCCAGGTTCTGAGTTATATCAAGGAAAGAGGCACTTAGGAGGGCAGAAAAGACAGTCTTGCATTGCCTTTGTCCCCCTTGCCTTGCCAGTGTGTCCAGTGGAGACAGAATCTGTGTGACTGCAGGAGGGAGAGTGAAGCAATGATAGGACTTTGCATTGAAACTTAGGGCCACCCTGGTACAGGGGAACACAGTACAGTACTGGGCAGACATCTGTCAGTACCCGCAGAGGGAGTACCTAGAACAGCCTGCCAGAGAGCAATCCTCTATCCCCAAATCCATGTTCTGCCTGGGCCCTGGACTAAATCTGTAAGGCAGTCAGGCCACAAAGGCTGCAGTCTTTGGGCAATTCCTACAGTTGTGCTAGCTCAGAGCCAGTGGACTTTGGGTGAGCTCCCACCCCTTACCACCAACTTGAGGCAATATGGCTCAAGGATTATCCTTCTACTTGGGGAAAGGAAAAGGAAGAGCTCAGAGGACTTTCTTTTGCATCTTGGGCAGCAGCTCAGTCACAGTAAAATTAAGTATCAAGCAGACCGCTGAAGCTCCTGCATTCAGGTCTTAGTGCTTGGATGGCATTTCTGGACGGCATTTCTTGACCCTCCCTGGGCCAGTAATAAACCTGCTGCCCTGAAGGAAAAGACCCAGTCCTGGCAGGATTTGCCATATACTGTTTAAGGAGCTCTTGGACTTTAAATAAACATCTCATATAGCCAAACAATAGTCAGCAAGGGCTTTGGATGAAACTGGGCTGGTTTCAGTGTAACCTGGTGTTGGAGACCATGAGGAACTGCCCAGGTCACTCCTCTCTGAACTCCAGCAGCCCAGCACAGAGAGTGAAGGGAGAGAGTGAGAGAGAGACTTTGTTTGGTAATTTAAGGAACTCTCCCTCTTCTTACCCAAATCCACCAAGATGGCACCATTAGGAGTCTGTAAGAGTCACAGCATTAGTGGGCTTGGGGCACTCCCAGTACTGACATGCCTGCAGTAACCAAAGACTTAGCTCACAGATCAACTCCCTTTAAATATCTGAAACACTGTCTCAAGAAGGATAGGTTCTAACAAGTTCAGACTATGAAGATTAAACTAAATACCTAGCTCTTCATTGTCCAGACATTATCAGACATCCACAAGCATTAAGAATACTCAGGAAAACATGACCTCACCAATCAAACTAAATCAGCAACCAGTGACCAATTTTGGAATGATGGAGATATATAATTTTTAAAACAAATAATTTGCAATCGCTGTCTTGAAGAAGCTCAATGAATGTCAAGACAACTCAGAGAAGGAATTCAGAAGCCTGTCAGAGAAATTTAACAAAGAGATTGAAATAATTTTAAAAAATCAAGTAAAAATTATGGCACTTAAGAATCCAACTGACAAACTGAGAAATGCATCACAGTCTTTCAACAGAAGACTTGACCAAGCAGAAGAAAGAATTAAAAAACATAAAGACGGGATATTTGAAAATACACAATGACGAGAGAGAGAGAAAAAAAAAACAAAGATAAGGAATGAAAAAGAATAAAACACCTAAAGATCTAGAAAATGCCCTCAAAAAGGTGTTATTAGCCTTGAAAAGGCAGAAGAGAGAGATTGGCATAGGAGATTTATTTAAAGAAATAATATCAGAGAACTTTCCAATCCTAGAGAAAGATGTCAATATTCAGGTACAAGAAAGTCACAGGACACCAAGCAGATTTAACACAAACAAAACTATCTCAAGGCATTTAATAATCAAGGTCCTGAAGGTCACCCATAAAGCAAGGGTCCAAAGGAAATAAGAAAAAAGTAACAGGTAAAGGAACTTCATTTCTGGCAACAGACTTCTCAGTAGAAACCTTACAAGCAAGGAGAGAATGGCATGAAATATTCAAGGTGCTAAAGGAAAAAAACCTTACCTTTAACCCTAGAATATTCTATCTTGTAAAAAATTTCTTTCAAATATACAAGGGGGAAAAAAAAAAGACTTTCTTTTATAAACAAAAAGTGAGGAATTTCATCAACAATGGATCTGTCCTGCAAGAAATGCTGAAAGGAATTCTTCAATCTGAAAAAAAGGCTGTTAATAAACAATAAAAAAATCATCTAAAGGTATATAAGTTACTGATAACAGTCTGTAAACAAATAGTACTCTATTGCTGTAATTGCAGTGTATAAACTACTTATAATGTGAGTAGAAAGACTAAATAATAAACTTATCAAAAAGGTTACATCAACTTTTTGAGGGCGAGATAGTGAAAAAAGATATGGATGGAAGCCATGAAAAGTTAAAAAGCAAGGGAGGAGCAGAGGATAGAGTTCAAAAATTGAATTTCTATTAGATTTCTCTTTGCTTGTATATTTTCTTTGAAACAGAATTTGTCATATTTTTAAAATAATTGGTTATAAAATGTTTTATGCAAGTCTCATGGTAACCTTAAATCATGATATCTACAACAGATATATTAAAAATAAAAAGCAATAAATAAAATGCACTAACAGAGAAAATCTCTTTTAACAAGTATAGACAAGAAAGAAGTAAGCAAGACAGAGAGGACCCTTCAAGCAATAATAACATGGCAATAGTAAGTCCTTACCTGCCAAAAACATACCGAATGTGAATGGACTAAACTCTCTAGTCAAGATTCAAAAAGTGGTTGAATGGATTAAAAAAAAATCCAATTATATGTTATCTTTAAGAAACATTTCACGTATGTATAAAGATTCGTGAAGACTGCAAATAATTGATGGAAAAGATAGTCCATGAAATGAAAACCAGAAAAAAGCAGGAGTAACCATACTTCTATCATATAAAATAGATTTTAGGACAAAAATTGTAAAAAGAGACAAAGATCATTATGTAATATAAAGGGCTCAATTCAGCAAAAGGGTATAACACCTCTAAATATATATGTCCCCAACACTGGAGCACCCAGATGTTTAAAGCAAATATTATCAGAGCTAAAGAGAGAGTTAGACTCCAATACAAAAATCTACAACACTCATTTTCAGCATTGGACAGATCACTTATGCAGAAATTCAGCAAAAATTGTACTTCATCTTCACTGTGGACTAACTAGACCAAAAAGCATTTGCAGAGAGCTTCATCCAATAGTTGCAGAATACACATTCTTCTCCTCAGCTCATGGATCATTCTCAAGGATATATCATATGTTAGGCCTCGAAACAGATCTTCAAAAATTCAAAAATATTGAAATCATACCACATAAATTTTCTGACCACTATGGAATAAATCTAGAACTCAATAACAAGAGGGACATTGGAAAATCTACAAACACATGGAAGTTAAACCATATGCTCCTATATAACCAATGGGCCAATGAAGAGATTAAGAAGAAAATTTTAAAAATTATGAAAATAAAATACAACATATCAAAATCTATGAGATACAGTAAAAGCAGTAATAAGAGGAAAATTATAGCAATAAATACCTACAACAAAAAAGTAGAAAAGCCTCAAATAAACAAACTAATGATAATTCTCCGAAAACTGGAGAAACAAGAGAAAACCAAATCCAAATTAATAGAAGAAAAGAAATAATAAATCTCAGAACAGAAATAAATAAAATCAAAACAAAAAATATGAAGGATCAACAAAACAAAAAGTTTTTTAAAAGAAAAATAAAGTTTATAAAGTTTATAAAATAAAGTTTATAAAAATAAAATAAACCTTTAGCCAGATTAAGGAAAAAAAGAGAGAAAATCCAAACAAATAAAATCAAAGAGGAAAAAATCAAACATTATAACTGATACTACATAAATTTAAATGATTACTAAAAACTACTAAGAGCAAATATATATCAGTACATTAAAAAACCTAGAAGAAATGGATAAATTCCTAGACATATAAACCCACCAAGACTGAACCAGGATGAAATCCAAAACCTGAATAAATCAATAACCAATAACAAGATCAAAGCAATAAAAAAGTTTCTTGTCAAAGAAAACCCCAGGACCCTATGGCTTCACTGCTTAATTCTACAAAACATTCAAGAAGAAATAATGCCAATCATACTTAAAGTATTCCCAAAAATCAAAGAGCAAGGAGTACTCTCAAACTCATTCTACTAAGCCTGTATCACACTGAAACCAAAACCAAAGACACAACAAAGAAAGAAAACTATAGTTCAATATATCTGATGAACAAACCTTCAATAAAACACTAGTAAACTGAGTCAACAACACATTAAAAAGATAATTCATCAGGTGGCACCTGTGGCTCAAAGGGGTAGGGCATTGGCCTCATATACTGGAGGTGGCAGGTTCAAACCCAGCCCTGGCCAAAAACTGCAAAAAAAAAAAAGATAATTCATCATAATCAAGTGAGATTCATCATAAGCAAATCAATCAATATGATATGTTGCATCAATAGAATGAAGGAAAAAATCACATGATCATTTCAGTTGATACTGAAAAATAATTTGACAAAATTCTACATCCCTTCATGATTAAAACTCTAAAAAATCTAGGTATAGAATGAATTTACCTAAACAAGATGAAAGCCATATATGAGAGACTCTCAGCAAGTATCATACTGAATGGGGAAAAATTGAAAGCA